ATTTTTATTGTGGAAAATATGTTACTTGGGGATAATTTTTAGCGCTGGAGAAAAATTACACAGGGGAAAATTTGCCACTAGAAAATTTTGCGCAGGAGGAATATTGCTCGGGAAAAAAACAAACATTACGCGGGAAACATTTTACGCGGGAAAAATATGGTGCTGGTAATTTCTAATCGAGTGGCTCTCAACGGTATAACCCTGATTGAATGTTTTTACACAAGGTGATGATTATACTGTGTGAGAGGAAAAAGAAAGGAGAGGAGAGGAGAGGAGAATTAGAGGAGAGGAGAGGAGAGGAGAGGAGAGGAGAAGGAGAGGAGAGGAGAAGGAGAGGAGAGGAGAGGAGAGGAGAGGACCGTGCTATACATTGAATGAATCACGTGAAGAAGAGAGATTTTGACTCATAAATAAGACGGAGGAAGATGATTGATGGAGGAAAGAAAGATGGAAGGAAGTAAAGGACGTAGGGGAAGGAAGAAAGGAAAAAAGAAGGAAGGGCTGTCGGAATATAGAAAGTAGGGAAGAAAGAAGGAATGAAAAATGAAAAATAAAGAAAGGAAGGAAGTAAAAAAATAAAGGAGAGATGGAAGGATGAAATAATGGAATGAATAAATGAATAAAGAAATGAAGGGAGAAAATACAGTTAGATACAAGACAGATGATAAATGACTCGGTATAAAAGTTTGGCGCTCAAGAGATTGAAGTCTCTTGAGCGTCTCTTCATTTTATCTCCAATGTGTCTCTTAACAAAATCTCAAACAATCTCCCCAACAAAAGTAAAAAAAAAACCACTATCTCTACCTTTTATCTCTAATATCTCTCTAACCAAAACCTAAAAAATAAAACCCCTTAACCAAAAAATCCAAAATATTTACTACAAAAGGTAAAATTCCCCAAAATAAAAATATCACAGAAACAAGAAAATGTTAATATAGTTTTCTCAGAGTTGAAAAGAAAATGCCGCGTCGCTCTAACGCGGATCCCATGTTCTGTGAGGATTTGCAACGAGACAATGGAAGGGGGGACGACTATATCTTCCTATTGGGCGACCGAGGGAGTAAAGCTGAATGGGGAGAGACGGGGAGGGCAGGGATGGGGAGAGGAGGAGTTGGAACGAGAGAGGGAAGATGGAATGGGAAAGGAGAGAGAGGGGAGATGGAATGGGGGAGAGGAAGAGATGGTAGAGGGTGGACTAGGAGGAAATAGGAGAAAAGAAGAGGGAAGAAAAGAAAGGAGAAAAAGGATGGAAATGAAAGAAAAGAAAGAGAAGGATAAGATGTGGAATAGAGGAAGAAAGATATGGTATCAAGAGGAAGGAGGTAGGGCAGGAGAGAGAACCAAAAGGAAATAGGAAAAGGTATGAGAGAAGAAGGAAGGAAAGGGAAAATAAATGAGAGACAAGATAAAAAGGATAAAGAAAGGAAGATATCTCTAAGTCTCTTTAGTTAGATGGATGAGGTTTAGATGGACCTGAGCCTCAAGATGGATGATGGATGAGTGTGGGAAAGGTGGGTTGGTGGATGAGTGTGAGGGGGTGGGTTGGTGGATGGATATAGTGGATGAATAGATGAATGAATGAAATGGATGGATTGATGGATGAAAAAGAATGGAAAGGAGTGGATGCGGATGGGAAAGAGTGGATTGATAGATGGAGATGGATGAAAGTGGATAAGAGTGATAGACAAGCAAACAGACAGACACACAGACAGAGAGAAAGCTAAAGAAGAGAAAGAGACAGAGAGAGAGAGACAGACAGACGGGGACAAAGAGGTAAAGAAATTGAGACAGAAAAAGTTAAAAAAAGAGAGAGAGATATAGAGAGACAGAGACAGAGAGACAAGAGAGAGAGATAGAGACATTCCTGGCCCAACACTACCGTCTCAAGATGATAAATATTACATGTAATTTGTTAAAACATCTTGACTTCAACCCCGGGTGAGAGAGAGAGAGAGAGAGAGAGAGAGAGACCTTTACTTCTCTCTATCTCCTCGTCTCTCTCTATTCCTCCTTCTCTCCCTCCTAACTCCCCCCCCTCTCTCTCTCTCCCTCTCCTCACCCTCTCACTTCCCTCTCTTTCCCTCTCTACCCTAACAGCCCTCACTATCCCCACCTCACGTAGACTCCTCAACCATATACGACCAAGTTCCATCATTATAGGTTAGGTTAGGTTAGGTTTGGTTAGGTTAGGTTAAGTTAGTTTTGTTTAGGTTAGTTTTGGTTAGGTTAGTTTGGTAATATCTGATTGATAACACACACACACACACACACACACACACACACACACACACACACACACACACACACACACACACACACAATACAGTATATCAGACATAATTAACATGCAAATACACATTATACAAACATTTGCAACATTTTAATACACCTCAACATCTCTTTTGTCCATAACATATGAAATAACATGCAAATGATCATTATGCTAATACACCTGCACAATTATTACAGGTAGATGCCATTTTTTTTATTATTTTTGCAAGTTATTAATGTGTGTATTGTGTTTGGTTGTGTGTTTGGTTGTGTGTTTGGTTGTGTGTTTGTTTTGTGTTTGGTTGTGTTTGTTGTGTGTTTGTTTTGTGTTTGTTTTGTGTTTGTTTTGTGTTTGTTTTGTGTTTGGTTGTGTTTGTTGTGTGTTTGTTTTGTGTTTGTTTTGTGTTTTAGTTGTGTTTTGTTGTTATGTTTTGTTTATGTTTGTTTGTGTTTATTTTGTGTTTGTTGTTTTGTGTTTTAGTTGTGTTTGTTGTGTGTTTGTTTTTGTGTTTTGTTTTGTGTTTTAGTTGTGTTTGGTTGTGTTTGGTTGTGTGTTTAGTTTGTGTGTTTGGTTGTGTTTGGTTGTGTTTGTTTTGTGTTTGTTTTGTGTTTTTGTTTTGTATTTGTTTTGTGTTTAGTTATGTGTTTTGTTGTGTGTTTTGTTTTTGTGTTTGTTTTGTGTTTGAATTTGTGTTTGATTTGTCTGTTTGGTTGTGTGTTTGGTTGTGTGTTTAGTTTGTGTTTGGTGTGTTTTGGTTTGTGTTTGGTTTGTGTTTGTTTTGTGTTTGGTTGTGTTTGGTTGTGTGTTTGGTTGTGTTTGGTTGTGTGTTTGTTTTGTGTTTGTTTTGTGTTTGGTTGTGTTTGGTTGTGTGTTTGTTTTGTGTTTGTTTTGTGTTTGTTTTGTGTTTATTTTGTGTCTTTCTGTTTGTTTTTGTGATTTTAATTAATATTCATTATCTGTCTATTTATTTCTTTGTGTTTCTATCTATCTATCTATCTATCTATCTATCTATCTACCTATCTATCTATCTATCTATCTATCTATCCACACAGCCACCATCCATTATCGTGGACAAATCTCCCGAGGGAAAAAACCCTGACCAAGAAAACACACAATGGCGACACTTTCTTTCCCTTTCACAAAAATTCCATCCAGTACACCCAGTTACGGAGAAAAAAAACCCATTATAGGAGGAAAATAGGGAATAGGATGTTTAATTGTGATGGGAATAGGGAATGTATAGGCTTTGAGTAGTGTTAAATGGGTGTGAGTGAGAGTTGTGTTGGTCGGAGCTCACCCAGGGTTTGTTTTGTTCCAGTAATATTTCAGTGATGACGTTAGAGGGTTGAATTTTGTTGGGTATTGTGTTGTCTTTTAAAAATTGGGTTAAATTGGTAGTTTTTGTGATGTTTTTATTTAATTTTTTGTTAATAATTGGTGGTTGTAAGGAATAAAGAGCCTAAGGGGTAGATAGTGAAACATGGGTAAATATGTCCGTAGAGTTTTACACATTATATTATTTTACTTTATTTTGTTGTTATTATTATTATTATTATTATTATTATTATTATTATTATTATTATTATTATTATTATTATTATTATTAAAATCAAAACACACACACACACACACACAAGAGAGAATCACTTGTGTGTGTGTGTGTGTGTTTGTTGGTAAGAGTTTATTGGTTTAATAAAACATAATTAATTGTTAAGTTTGTTGGGTAAAGTCTCTCTCTCTCTCTCTCTCTCTCTCTCTCTCTCTCTCTCTCTCTCAAAACTATCTATATTTTCGTTTGGTTTTAAAAGTTGGTAAAAAAAAAAATCTATTAACTGCTACGGATAATTAGGAGTCGTTAATGAGGTGGTGATTAGCGGCGGAGTTTGTGAAATAGTTTATATTGGAAAGTTATAATTGTGTTTGTGTTGTAATGATAATATTAGTGTGTGTGTATGTGTGTGTGTGTGTGTGTGTGTGTGTGTGTGTGGTGTGTGTGTGTGTGTGTGTGTGTGTGTGTGTGTGTGTGTGTGTGTGTGTGTGTGTGTGTGTGTGTGTGTGTGTGTGTGTGTGTGTGTTGGAGAGAGTGTATATACGTTGGAGTCAGAGTGTGATTAGTTGAGTCACCTGTCTGACTCACCTTTCTCTACCAGGTACTGACTCTCTCTCTCTCTCTCTCTCTCTCTCTCTCCCTCTCTCTCACACACCCTCATCCCCTCATCATTCAGGGTATGATCGAGGTCCTAAAATACTCAGGTATCCTAAACTCTCTATAGGATGTCCTTAAAGATCCTACGACCCTTCAAATTTCCGTCCCGTCTCCAGCAAAGGATATTAATACCCTCTTCTCTCTCCTTCATCCTAGAAGTGAACAGAAATTCCCTATGATCCTTGAGTCTGGTCCTAGAGTCTAATAATGAAATCCTTCGAGATCTTTTGAGCACTGCGATGTTTATCTCCTCTCCTACCCATCCTTTACCATCACTGAAGGATACTAACCCATCCTTCCGTCTCCTCCTATCCTTCCTACCACCACTGAAGGATACTAACCCATCCTTCTCTCTCATCCTATCCTTCCTACCATCACTGAAGGATACTAACCCATCCTTCTCTCTCATCCTATCCTTCCGACCCATCCTTTATCACCACTGAAGGATACTAACCCATCCTTCTCTCGCATCCTATCCTTCCTACCACCACTGAAGGATACTAACCCATCCTTCTCTCTCATTCTACAGGAGGTGAAAGAGGTCCAAGGATCGTGGAGCATCCTAAGTCCATCGTGGTGCCTCGGGGAGATCCTACCACCCTCAACTGCGCCGCTGAGGGCATTCCTGAGCCCAAGATTACCTGGTTCAAGTGAGTCACCTTAATTAATTGTTTACCTGTTCAATGATCTGTTGCCTTACCTGTTTAATTATCCTTTTATTTACCCCTTAATTACCTGTTTAATTACCTTTTTTTTACCTGTTTAATTACCTGTTTGTCAGTCCAGGTGAGTTAAGGTGTCTCTATATAAACTCAATAATTAACTACACGAGAAAAAACAAAACAAAATTTATCAAAAATAAAAATTCAACTTTGATAAAACACCTCAAATGTTTATCAGTTTCTAAACATTTTTTCATATTTTATTTATTTTTTTTATTCTTTTTTTGGTTGGGAAGGAAAGTTTCACCAAGTTTGAGTCCCGCTTGATCACACACACAAAATTCTCTCTCTTGTAAATGTCAGCGTCTTGCCTCGCTCATATTACGTCAGCCTTTAAATGTCAGCCCAGATCATACATACACCTGGTTATGTGACAAATACCTGGTTATGTGACAGAAACACCTGGTTATGTGACAAACACCGACAAACATGACCTACAACATTACACATTTGACTGACACGTTTCAACTCCTGATTTGATTCGAGTTAAGGCTTTAAACTCTCATTTGACTTCGAGCTGAGCATTTATACAGCCTCGCATTTGACTTCTAAACATACTTGCTTGTATTTAATTAATTCACACACTTGTTTTAATTAAATTCACCAACATGAATATTATTTTTTATTATTTCTCGAACTATAGTTTCTCATTTGAACTTAACTCCAGAATATAATAGCTCATATGACCTTATACTCATATATCCTCATCCAATCAGCGTTCAGGTACAGATGCTCAATTGAATGCCAGATATACTTACTTAATTAACTACTCACACATACCTAATCATCAGGTACAGTTACTCATTTGATTAACGATTCGTGATTGTAAATTAGGGGAAGGAGGGATATGATTGGAGGAGGGAGATTGGAGGAGGGAGATTGGAGGAGGGAGATTATGATGGTTGGAGGAGGGAGATTGGAGGAGGGAGATTATGATGGTTGGAGGAGGGAGATTGGAGGAGGGAGATTAATTTCCCTAATCCCCCAAATCCCGACCGATAATTCCCAAATTCGGAGAAGTAATCCCTAAATCCCCCAAAAATACCGTAAACCCACAAAAAATATCCCAATAATAATCCTCTTACATTAATCCCACAATAATCCCTATAGTATCCTCATATTAATCCCTACGTTGTTCCCCCCAATATAAATCTCCGAAAAAAATCCCCCTGTGTCCATTCCAAAGTAATCCCTCTATAATTATTTGTATATTAATCCCTACATAAATCCCCCTTGTATTAATCCCTCACTAATCCCAATTTTAATCCACTATCAATCCCTATAATGAGCCTAAAATAATATCCCTCAGATAAATCCCTCTATATTCATTCCCTTTATGTTAATCCTCTTATATTAATCCCACACAGTAATCCCACACAGTAATCCCTCTCGTGGCTCCAGACGACAGCAAACTTTGGGAACTTGTAAAGGTCATTCGAGGGATTATTTTCCCAGGGATAAAGTTCAGCCAGGTGATGTGACCTTCTGAGGGAGGTAGGGAGGGAAGGAGGGAGGAAGGAGGAGGAGAGGAGGAAGGGAGGAAGGAGGGAGGAGGGAAGGAATTAAAAATGCTACGAAAATATTATTCATACTGTAACTTTGGTGTTCGAGAAGGAAGAGAGGAGGGAAGGAGGAGGAGAAGATAAAAAGAAGGAAGGAAGGAAGGAGGAGGGAAGAGGAGAAGAAGAATGGAGAGAAAGGATGTGAGGCAAGTATAAAGGAAGGAGGAAGGGGAGAAAGGAAGGAAGGAAGGAAGGAAGAAAGGAGAATCAGTAAACACACACACACACACACACACACACACACACACACACACACACACACACACACACACACACACACACACACACACACACACACACACACACTACATCCTTGACCACCGAAGGGTCAAGACGTACCTGGCGCTCCTCTCGGAGCAGCCAGGTCAACTGCTATGTTGGCCCATACCAACTCCCTCCCCTGAACCCTCCTCCCCACCGGAATATCAACAAGTTCACGCCAGAAGTTACTATTTCATTTAGGAAAGAAATGGAACCAGTGTTAAACAGAGGTGAACAGTGGTGAACAGTGCTTAAGTCAGTGAGAACAACTCAGCAGTAACAGTGGTACCCAAGTTGACCTTTCACACAGTGAGGTCCCAGGTACCCAGTGATAACGGCCCGTGAGACCCAACTACCAGCGATGTGTTAATTCGTCTACGATAGGAAGGCCTGGAACCACACCTCACTCATATAACACCATCTGTGAGGGAATTACTACACCACGTGAGGCCCCTCATAACACCATATGTGAAGGAGTTACTACACCACGTGAGGCCCCTCATAACACCATCTGTGAGGGAATTACTACACCACGTGAGGCCCTCATAACACCATATGTGAAGGAGTTACTACACCACGTGAGGCCCCTCATAACACCATCTGTGAGGGAATTACTACACCACGTGAGGCCCCTCATAACACCATCTGTGAGGGAATTACTACACCACGTGAGGCCCCTCATAACACCATCTGTGAGGGAATTACACACCACGTGAGGCCCCTCATAACACCATTCTGTGAGGGAATTACTACCACGTGAGGCCCCTCATAACACCATCTGTGAGGGAATTACTACACCACGTGAGGCCCTCTAACACCATCTGTGAGGGAATTACTACACCACGTGAGGCCCCTCATAACACCATCTGTGAGGGAATTACTACACCACGTGAGGCCCCTCATAACACCATCTGTGAGGGAACCACTACACCACGTGAGGTCCCTCCTAACACCATCTGGGAGGGAGTTACTAACTACGTTTTTGCTGTTCAACACCTACATTAATCTGTATGTTCACTGTATGTTCCTTTACCTTTCTCTAATGAAGGCTTTTGTTAAACCACCAATGTATGTAATAAGTCATTTATGCCCATGTATATTTTCAGCCTCGGGCTGCAGAACTTTTCAATAAACCGTTAATTATTATTATTAATTATTATTACACACACACACACACCACAAATATCCATAATTCTCACTAGCTAAAACACCTCTTTTCCCCTCCACCACCCTCACCCCTTCCTTCCCTCTTACCCTTTTTCTCACCCCCTCTACCCTTCTTCCTTTTCACTACTCTTCCTCACCCCTTATCCTTCTTTCCCTCTTCCTCACTTTCACTCCTCCTCTCACTCCTCACCCACTCCTCACCCCTCACCCACCCCTCACCCACATCATCCATCATCCCAGACCTCATCATGTCACCTCTCTTATCTTTCCTTCTTATCTCACGTCTCCAGATAAGGGAGGAAGGAATAGGGGAAGGAAGGTGAGAAGTGGTATGGAGGAGGGGAAGGAAGGGTGAGATGGTATGGAGGAGGGGAAGAAGGGTAAAGTGGTAGAAAGGTTGGAGGAAGGAAGGTGAGAAGTGGTATGGAGGAGGGAGGAAGGGGTGAGAAGTGGTATGGAGGAGGGAAGGAAGGGTGAGAAGTGGTATGGAGGAGGGGAAGGAAGGGGTGAGAAGTGGTATGGAGGAGGAAGGAAGGGTGAGAAGTGGTATGGAGGAGGGAAGGAGGCACACACACACACACACACACACACACACACACACACACACACACACACACACACACACACACACACATTATACTTACATTAAAATAACATCATTAAAACACAATAAACCACAAACATAAAACAAGAGAGAAAAACACAAGAGACTTAACGAACCATCAAACGAGGTCGTTAATGTGGTCGTTGTGTCGTTAAGAGTCGAGGCTTCAATTCTTACTTTAAACGAACGATTCTGGGTACAGTAGTGGACTCTCTCTCTCTCTCTCTCTCTCTCTCTCTCTCTCTCTCTCTCTCTCTCTCCCTCATCGGCCAGATCTTAACTCCTGATAAGGTCTGATAAGAAATGATTTCCCTTGGGTCAGGTTTTTAATATTTCTGATAACAACTAATTTCCCAAAAGACTTAACTAATATATATATATATATATATATATATATATATATATATATATATATATATATATATATATATATATATATATATATATATATATATATATATATATAATATATATATATATATATATATATATATTTTTTTTTTTTTTTTTTTTATAATGACCAATTAAAACATAACTAAGACTATTTCCCTAAAACTAGCCTAACCTAATTAAAAGTAAACCACTAAACCAACCAACCCTTTCCTAAATAAACGTAAGGTAACGTAACCACAACTACCCATCAACAGGGACGGGATGATGGTGTCCACGTCACAAGAGGATGGTCGCTCTAACAAGGTGCTTCTTCCCCGCTCCCTCTTCTTCCTCTCCATCAAGCAGGGCAAGAAGGAGAGTGACGCCGGGGTCTACCAGTGCGTCGCCTCCAACACCAACGGCAGAGCCACCTCCAACAACGCCACCCTCACCATCGCTAGTGAGTACCCAAGTCCTGTGTTTGGTGGGTTAGGTTAGGAAGGGAGGGAAGGGAAGGGAAGGGAAGGGAAGGGAAGGGGTGTCTTTGGTTACTAAATGGTCTCAATACCGTCAGTCACACAGACGTTCTCACAACAATTAAAAGGGGAAATATTTGTCTCACGGTCGACCCTCAGAGATTAAGGCTCCTGGCAGAGAACATTTGCATAGAATTGGTTGAGAGATGAAGGAGACAGGGGGAGATGAGGAGGAGGGGGAGATGAGGGGGAGGGGGGTGGGGGGATGAGGAAGAGGATGAGCGAGAGATAAGAACAGACGAGTGAGAGATAGTGAGAGATAGTGAGAGACAGTGAGAGGTCTCGTCACAACTCATAATGAAATAACTTTTTGAGACTCTTCACCTGTTATAGAATTACAGGTGAGATAATTAATACGAGATTTATCAGCATCAAGAGACAACTGAGAGATAATGAGACAATATTGGTGTTTGTTTGTTTGTTATTACGATAGATAGATAGATAGATAGACAGTTGAACGAAACTTAGGTCACACACACACACACACACACACACACACACACACACACACACACACACACACACACACACACACACACACACACACACACACACACACACACACACACACACACACACACACACACACACACACACACACACACACACACACACACACACACACACACACACACGTGGCTGAGATTAATTACTAACATTCCTGAGGTCCTGTTACAGTCTGTCTGTGTGTTTGTCTGTGTCTGTGTTTGTCTGTTTGTTTGTCTGTTGTTCCTGTCTCTTTGTTTGTCTGCTGTTTGTTGGCTGTTGTTCCTGTCTCTATTTCCTTCCCTCCCTCTACTCCGTCCCTCCCTCCCTCCCTCCTTCCCTCCCTCCCTCCCGCCACTCCTTCCCTCCCTCCGTCCCTCCATCCCTCCCTCCTTCCTCCCTCCTCCCTCCCTCCCCACCCTTCCTCCCTACCTAGATAAATAATCGTCCCAATAATGAAATAAAAGTAATAAATGAGATGGTTGGCGGAGAGTAACTGGCGCCATTATTGTTCTCTCTCTCTCTCTCTCTCTCTCTCTCTCTCTCTCTCTCCTCTCTCTCTCAAGCCTCATTCGTTAACATTCCCTTCCTATTCGCCTTCCCCTCTCCTCCCTCTCCCTCCCTCACTAGAAAGAAAAACCTCCCTATCTCGTTATCTCCATCACCTCCTCCCTCCCTCTTCCCCACCCTCCCTCCTCCCTCCTTCTCCTTACCACCTAATCTCACATCTTCCTCCTCCTAACCACCTCTTCCTCTCCTCTTCTTCTTCTTCTCCCGTTCCTTCCTCCTCTTTCCCTTCTCCCTTCTCCCTCTCCTCCTCTTCCCTCTCCTCCTCTCCCTCTCCTCTTCTCCTCCCTCTCCTCATCTCCTCCTCTCCTCCTCTCCTCCTCCCTCCCTCCTCCTCTTCCTCTCCTCCTCTCCCTCGTGTTTTATTATTACACTTTTATCTACATTTCTCTCTTTTATTTTTCTCCTCTTTATGTCTTTCGTATTTTAGTGTTGATATTTTACGCTTCTCTGGTTATCTCCCTCTTCTTTCTTTCTTCTTCCTTCTTTCTTTCTTTCTCCCCTTTCTTTTCTTCTTCTCTCTCTCCTCCTTCATTTACTTCCTTTTCCTATCCTCTGTTTCCTCTCTCATCCCTCCCCGTCCCTCCTCTCCCTCTTCTTCCTTCCCATTCCTTCCTTTTTTCCTCTCCTCCTCTCTCCCCTCTCCCTTCCTCCCTCTCCCTTCCTCCCCTCTCCCTTCCTCCCCTTCCCCCTCCCCTATCCCCCCTTACACACACACACACACACACATTGTATCTCATTAAAACATTTCGGTCATACTCGACAAAAATACTTAAACAAAAAATGCTGGATTCTGTCTAGCCTTAGAATTTATGCATCAAGGAATTTATACTTTTGTTGAGTATTTTACCACCGTTTTATAGTCGCTGTTTTGGGCAGTGAAGAGAATTTTTTACTTTTTTTAGTCGACTTTTTTAATTTGGGGAGATTTTTTATAAATTTTGGGGCTGTTTTTTATAATCTTTCGTAACCTCACCTAACCAAACCTAACCTAACCTAACCAAACCTAACCTAACCAAACCTAACCTAACCTAACCTAACCTAACCTGAGGCTAACGAGACAAAACAAAAAACAATTAATTTTAGGGAAAAAACAAAAAATTCTCCCGTGTAAAAAGAGAGACTCCAGGAATGTGTGGGGGAAGAATCTCTCACAGAGTCTCTCACAGTCTCTCAGGGTCTCTCAGTCTCACACGGTCTCTCTTAGTCTCACACAGTCTCTCAGAGTCTCTCAGAGTCTCTCGTGGGGGCTGAGAGGGAACTTTTAGCAGCTTAAGTGGCAACATGTGTCAGCTAAAACTTGTGTTAAGCTCGTCATATGTCGCCCAGTGTCCCAGAGGTGTCCCAGAGGTGTCCCAGAGGTGTGTTACAGTGTTCCATATGTGTCTCGGTGTCCCATAGGTGTCCCAGAGGTATGTTACAGTGTTCCATATGTGTCTCGGTGTCCCAGAGGTGTCCCAGAGGTGTCCCAGAGGTGTCCCAGAGGTGGGTTACAGTGTTCCATATGTGTCTCGGTGTCCCATAGGTGTGTTACAGTGTTCCATATGTGTCTCGGTGTCCCATAGGTGTGTTGCAGTGTCCTTAAGATGTCCCTAGTGGTGTCCCAGAGGTATCTACAATGTCTCCCAAATGTCCTAAAGTTTCTAAGCGTGTCCCAAAATGTCCCAGAATGTCTTACAGTGTCCCAGAGTGGCTGTAGTGTATACTGAGTGGTTGTTATTATAAATGTTTACACTGAGTCTTGAAGGAAAGTGTGTGTGTGTGTGTGTGTGTGTGTGTGTGTGTGTGTGTGTGTGTGTGTGTGTGTGTGTGTGTGTGTGTGTGTGTTTCATGAATTTCTTCTGGCAACATTGGGAGTAGTTTTGTTGTTGTTCAGTATTTTTGGAGTCAGATGGTGAGTGGACCATTCCCAGGTGAGGTTATTAGGTAAAGTTAAGGTCATTTGGGCTATTAGACACGGCCCACTAACTACCAGGGTGACACTAACTACTTAATAGCCAGGGTTGTCGGTGGTTACAGAGGCATTAACTACCACAGTGTCACTAATCTACCAGGGTGACATGAATTATCACAGTGCCACTAATTACTACAGGGTGCCATTAACTACTACTACAGTGCCATTAATTATCACAGTGCCACTAACTACCACACACACACACACACACACACACACACACCAACTACAATAACAAAACAAAACTCCCTCCAGCATTTACTAATTATAAAGTAAACTCTGGAAGGTAAATGCCACACGATCTCATATGAAGAAAAATTCTCAGACATGTGTGTAAACTTTCGTAGGCAAAAAAGTGTGAGTTTGGCGCAACACAACTTTGGCCCAGAGATTTCAATGGTGTCGCTTGGGCTGTATATGTTGCAGTCATATGTTTAGGGGGGAAGGGGGGAGAAGGGGTAGAGGGGGAAGGGTGGGGAGGGGTGGTAGGCACGGGTGGGGGAGAGGAGCCTGGGGAGGTGAGAGGAGGGAAAAGGTGGAGGAGGGGAGGGTAGAAGGGGGAGAAAGGGGAAGAGGGCAGGGGCAGAAGAGGGGAGGGTGGCAGAGGGGGAGGGGAGAGAAAGGGATGTGGGGAGGGGGAGGAGGGTCGTACATGTGCTATGTTGTGGAAGAAAACGACCCTCTGTGAACTCTGGTGGAATCTGGGAACTGAGTACGACTTGGGGGTGGGGTGTTATTGTTGGGGTGAAGAGGTCGTTTAGGTGTTATCTAGCTGAAGAATACGACCTATAGGAACTGTGGAAGAGCCCTGGAACTGAGTACGACTAGGAACTACTCACATCGAGGGGATGGGGGTCGTACACATCTTATCTTATTATAGAAAACGACCTTAGCAAACTTAGAACGACCTGAAGCACAAAGCGACCTCTTAAACTAGACACGACCCAGAAGGAGTATTCGTGACGACAACTATTCCACAATAATGGTCGTAGAGGTCGTGCTAGTCGTCGTCTTGTCCATAAAGTCTCGTTATGTGTCGCATTATGTGAGAGTTTACACAAAGGAGAGTCTTTCTGTTATTGTGAGTGACTGAGTGACTACAATTATAGGTGAATGAGTGATTGAGTAGTTGAGTGAGTGACTGAGTGGCTGAGTGAGTGACTGAGTGGCTGAGTGGCTGACTTGAGTGACAGAGTGACTGAGTGGCTGAGTTGAGTGACAGAGTGACTACAATTATAGGTGAATGAGTGATTGAGTAGTTGAGTGAGTGACTGAGTGACTGAGTGGCTGACTTGAGTGACAGAGTGACTGAGTGACTGAGTGGCTGAGTTGAGTGACAGAGTGACTGAGTGCCTGAGTGAGTGAGTGACAACAATAATGGGATCGATTTTCATTTAAGTCTCTCGTTAAAGCTCGCTGGACGCTGTCAACCTCACTACAACACAACCCGGAATATACCATCATCCTCACAGGGTTAGGTTAGGTTAGTTTAGGTTAGGTTAGTTTAGGTTCGGTTAGGTTAGTTTAGGTTAGGTTAGTTTAGGTTCGGTTAGGTTAGGTTAGGTTAGGTTAGGTTAGGTGTACATGGCTCCCCAGAATGTGTGTACACCAAGAAGGACATTTAACATTCTCTCTTGTGTTCTCAGAATGTATAACTATGAATAAAGTCCCTCATTCAACATTCATATGTGTGTGTTGACAGAGTTACAATATAATGTAGGAAAAATATAGTGTAGTATATCAGTGAGTCTTAATGTACAGTTTGGTTAGGTTAGGTTAGGTTAGGAAAGGCTAGATATTATTAGGTTACGTTTGGTGAGGTTGGGTTAAGTGAGGTGGGGCGAGGTGGGGTGAGGTTGGGTTAGGTTGGGTGAGGTTGGGTTAAATTAGGTCAATACATACACACTATCTATCAATGTCTCAGCCACCGACACAATCCTCAACCATCCGTCTTCGTGTTTATAGAAATATTCCTCTGATATCTTAGACCTGACAGTTACCTCTACTGACAGCTGTTGACTCGTGTGTGTGTGTGTGTGTGTGTGTGTGTGTGTGTGTGCGTGCGATATGGGTGTCTGTTGGTGAATCTGTGTAGTGCGTGTGTGTGTTGACAGACAGACAGACATACGGCCAGAAAAAAGAGACAGGTAACTCGACAGACAGACAGAAGCTAAATCCCTTCACTTACCTGTACACGTGATCAAGAAGGGGGAGGGGCTTCAGTCGTTCATAATAACACAGGTAACTCACTAATTGACCTACATTAACCCTCTCAGGTGAGCTGGTCTTACTGATGAGGGGGAGGGGGAGGGGGAGGGTGAGGGGGAAGGGGAAGGATGGATGGGAGAATAGGAAGGTGGAGAATATAAGGGAGAAGAGAGAGAGAAGAATGGGAGGTAGGAGAGAAGGAGAGAGAGAAAAAAAAGGGGAGGTAGGAGAGAAGGAGAGAGAGAGGAGAGAGAGAGAGAGAGAGAGAGAGAGAGAGAGAGAGAGAGAGAGAGAGAGAGAGAGAGAGAGAGAGAGAGGCACTCCAAATATTAATCTCAGGACGTCATTCAACTCCCTTCACTTATATCTAAAAGGTGAGGGCCAGACTGTGCCATTAGTGCCAACCTTCTTCATGGCACTTCCTCTCTCTCTCTCTGTGTGTCTGTCTCTTTCTCTATGAAGCCTTAAGAAAACCCAGACAGACAGACAGACAGACAGACAGACAGACAGGTAAATAGCTAGAGAGAGAGAGAGAGAGAAAGAAATTACAGAAATCCAGACTCAAGAGAAGACAGAGAGAGAGACAGAGAGATAAGATTGAATCTCTTAATCAAGGAGATAAATATCGAGACTTGGAACACCCGGAGGAGGTGAGATAAGACGCTGAGAGACAAAGAGATAAGAAGTGAGAGACAGTGAGTGAGAGAGAGACACTCATCAGGTGGAGATAACGTGAGACAGGAGAGATAATCAGATGATGACAATGAAGAGACGCCGAGAGAAGATTTATTTTGGCATTTGCTGATCTAATGTTGTCCTACTTGCTTCAGCTGGCTCTATGAATGCAGTTCCTGACTCACTCACTCGCTCACTCACTCACTCACTCACTCACTCACTGGCAGAGTATGGAACGGAAGGGAGATAGTTGATAAACGATGGAAGAGAGAGAGAAAAAAGGAAAGGAGAGGAGAGAGAGCGAATGGGAGAAGGGAAAGAAGGAAGGAGGGAAGAAGAAGAGGGAGGGAAGAAAGGAGGAGGAAGGGGGAAGGAAGTGGGAAAGAAGAAGGGAGAAGGAGGAGGGTGGATGGAAGGAGGTGGTAAGGAAGGGAAGAACGAGAGGGGGGGAGGAGGGAAGACAAAGAAGGAGGGAAGGAAGGAGGAACTATGATAGAAGGATAGGAAGAAGGAGGTAAATAAGGGAACAAGGAGAGGAAGGAAGAAAGAAGAAGGTAGGAGGAGGAGGAGAAGAGAACAAAAGAAGATAAATACGATTATTTGATGAAGAACTTCTGGTAGTGTTGGCCAGCAGTGACACACACACACACACACACACACACACACACACACACACACACACACACACACACACACACACACACACACACACACACACACACACACACACACACACACACACACACACACACACACACACACACACACACACACACACACACACACACACACACACACACACCTTGCTTCCCTCCTCTCCCTTGCCCTCACTCCCTCTCCACTCTTCCTCTCTCTCCATTTGTCTCACCCTCCATATTTGCCCTACTCCTCGTCACTCCTTTTCCTCCCTCTCTCCCCTTCCTTACTTCCTTCCTCTCTCCTCTCTCTCCCTCCCTTCTCTCCTCCCCCTCTCCCCTTCCTTGCTTCCTCCCTCTCCTCTCTCTCCCTCCCTTCCTCCCTCCCTTCCTCCCTCTCTCTCCTCTCCCTCTCTCCTTCCTCATTTCCTCTTCCCTCCCTCTCTCTCTCCCTCCTCCTCATTGCCTAGTGGAGAAGCGTCAGAGGCTACACAAAGTTTTCCCTCTTTCTCTCTCCCTTTGGAATGTGGGAATAGTATTATTATTCTCTCTCTCTCTCTCTGTCTCTCTCTCTCTCTCTCTCTCTACCTTATTTTCTCTCTGTCTCTCTCTCTCTGTTTCCTTGGAGAGAGAGACACAGATACATCGTTTAAGAGATGAAAAGTAGACAGACAGACAGACAGACAGACAGACAGACAGACAGACAGACAGACAGACAGACCTTACATCCAAGAGAGAGAGAGAGATATAAAGCCAAAAAGAGATAAAATAAAGAGATGACCAGCTTAGAGGCACTCAGGGTCACCTCACACGCCTGGTCTGGTCCACAACAATGAGGGGGTGAGGGGTGAGGGGTGAGGGGGGGTGAGAGGGTGAGGGGTGAGGGGAAGGGGGGTACAGATGGACGAACTTAGGTCATGTATCTCAATATCTCGACAAGATGTCTCGTTGGATACATAGATCAAGGCTTATATACGTGTCTCTCAGGGGTGGGGCGGTTTCTCAGGGGTGTCTCAGGGGTGGGGCGGTCTCTGAGGGGTGGGGAGGTCTCTCAGGGGGTCTCAATGGGGGTGTCTCTCAGGGGATGTCTGTTAAGTTTGAGACAAGAGAACGTCTCTCACTATCTCTCCTCACCTATGACACAAAGACGGCGACTAGAAATTACGATCAATAAAATAACAATAAAAATATCTCTTACCTAAAACAGCTTCTCGTAAGGCAGTCTCTCTCTCTCTCTCTCTCTCTCTCTCTATCTCTTTCTCCAGGGATCTCAAAATGCAAACAGAGAGATAAAATAATCTCTTTCTCTCTTGCCAATCTCTTCAGCTAATCTCTCCTTGCCTTGCTAAGCTTCTCAACATCTCTCAGAGTCAACTAGAGTGTAAATAGAGTGATTATGTGTCTGAGAAACTGTAAATAGACAGATTATGTGTCGACAGACTTGTGTAAACAGAGAGTGAGTGTTCTTGTAGCACAGCGTAGACCAGGTAGATTGAGACGATAGATTAAACAGGTAGATTAATTAGGGTACATTAAGTAGGTTGATTAAGGAGGTTGATTAAGGAGGTTGATTAAGGAGGTTGATTAAGTAGGTAGATTAAGTAGGTAGATTAAGGAGGTTGATTAAGTAGGTTGATTAAGGAGGTTGATTAAGGAGGTTGATTAAGGAAGTTGATTAAGGAGGTTGATAAAGGAGGTAGGTTAAGCAGATAGGTAGATTATAAAGGTAGATTAAGTAGGTAGATTAAGGAGGTGGATTAAGCAGGTAGATAAAGCAGGTAGGCAAAGAAAACGAGTAAACAAGCAGTGACTCACAAAAGCAGGGAGGAAGATGTAGGGAGAGAAAGTGAGGGAAGTGAAGCTCTCTCTCCCTCTCTCTCTCTCTCTCTCTCTAACCAGGCAAGCAGGCAAGCAGGCAGGCGAAAGACCAAGGCTTTGTGTATGTGTGGGAGGAGAGGAGGGTTGGGGAGGAGGAAGTTTGGGGAGGAGAGGGTTGGGGAGGAGAAGGAGGGGAAGGCTTAGGAAGAAGGAAGAGGAGGAAGGGGAGAAGGAGGGGGTCGAAAGTTGGGAAGCAGGCGGAAAACCAGCCCTTTGTGTGTGGGAGGGGGTGAGGAGTGGGTCTGGGGAGGGGAGAGAGGGGCTGGGGAGGAGGAAGAGAGGAGAGGGGCTGGGGAGGGGAGGTGAGGAGGGCTCAGGAGGGGAGGGCTGGGGGTTGGGACAGGATTTAGGAGGTGAATAATTCCCCAGAATGCCGAAGTTAACGACCCAACTATTACAGATTCCATTACTAGAAGGTCTCACGGTGAAGGAGGAGGAGGAAGAGGGAGGAGGAGGAGGAGGTGAGAGGAGAAGGAGGAGGAGGTGGAGGTGAGAGGAGAAGGAGGAGGAGGTGGAGGAAGGGGGTGGTGGCAGATGAAGAGAAGCAGGAGGTGAGGAGGAGGAAGAAGGAGGAAGATGAAGAATGAGAGGAAGTTGGAAGAAAACGAGGAAGGGAGGAGGAGCATAGAGGAAGAAGAGAAAGGAGGAAAAGAGGAGGAAGAGTTTCCCAGGTCAGTTTGGAAGAATGATGTTGTCAACACACACACACACACACACACACACACACATCCGGAACACTTCACTAAGTCTCTCAATAAAACGACATAGGAACCGATCTCGTCAATTCCTTCCTTTGCATCGTGAAGTTTTGCTTCACGTCGTGGAGTCTTGATTTATGTCGTGGGGTCTTGTTTTACGTCGTGGAGTCTTACTTTACGTCGTGGGGGTCTTACTTTACGTCTCGGGGTCTTGCTTTACGTCGTGGGGTCTTACTTTACGTCGTGGGGTCTTACTTTACGTCGTGGAGTCTTGCTTTATGTCGTGGGGTCTTGCTTTACGTCGTGGGGTCTTACTTTACGTCGTAGAGTCTTACTTTACATCTCTTTACGTATCGTGGGGTCTTGCTTTACGTCGTGGGGTCTTACTTACGTCGTAGAGTCTTACTACATGATTTTACGTCGTGGAGTCTTTACTTACGTCGGGGTCTTACTTTACGTCGTGAGTCTTACTTTACGTCGGGGTCTTGCTTTACGTCGTGGGGTCTTACTTTACGTCGTGGAGTCTTGCTTTACGTCGTGGGGTCTTGCTTTACGTCGTGGAGTCTTACTTCACGTCGTGGAGTCTTGCTTTACGTCGTGGGGCCTTGGTTTACGTCGTGGGGCCTTGGTTTACGTCGTGGGGTACTAATAAAAATTAATTATTCGACAATTAAAAGTTTGAGAGCCTTTGGCGGGACCGAGACGAGATTTAAAGCAGATGTGATGTACTGGGAGGAAGGAGAAGAGAGGAGGGGAAGCAGAGTGGTGAGAAGAAGGAGGACGTGGAAAGAGAGAAAGTGAGAAAGAAAGAGAGAGAGAGAGATAAAGCGAGAGATAATGTGAGTGAGAGATAAAGAGAGAGAGATAAAGATAAAGCGAGAGAGATAAAGACGGAGAGATACTAAGAAAGATAAAACGAGAGACAGGATAAAACGAGAGTGAAAGATATAAAGAAAGAGCGATAAAACAAGAGATAGAGAGATACCATACCTCCGTTATACTCCAGAATGGTGAAATTAACTATTCAATTGGGTCCTGCAGGGTCGACGGAGTCCCTAGGATGTCGAGAGCGAGTTTTACCACATCCTGTTGGCCAAGTTCCCGGCAAGGATCTACTGGAAGGGCCTCCGGTGCGTCAGCTGCAGGATGTGGGCGGGGGGGGTAAGGGGGAGGGAGGGAGAGGGAAGGGGAGAGGGAAGGGGATGGGTAGAGGGAAGGGGAAGGAGAGTTGTTTTTAAATGTTTAGTAGGAGGGAAAGGGAAATGGGGTTGGAGAGGGGTGAGGGAAGGGAGGATAGAAAGGAGGAGAAAGAAAGGAAAGGAAGTGGAGGAAGGAAAGTGGAAAGAGAGAGAGGGGTTGGAAAAGGGCGGAGGGGATTGTAGATAGATAAGAAGAGGAGGGGAGGAGGAGGCTGGGGGGAGGGAGGGGGCAGAGAAGATGTGCCATGAATCAGTTCCAAATATCTCTAGCTGAGGAATGTCTCCCACGGTATCTCTCTCCAAACTTTTTTTTTGAGATATGTCTGAGATATCTCTAAGTGGGAGCCATCCTTTCTGTGGGTATTTTGGTCTCATGAGAGGAGACCTTGCTCTCCACCCCATCTATCTATATATTCCAATTCATCTTTTCGATGGTATTAATTTTCTTGACCCCAATCATCGAGAAAAAACACAAAAACAAAAACACAAAACAAACACCATCACCACAAATAACAAAAAACAAACAATAAACAACAAAATTGATATAGGTGAAAAAAAGGAGACCACTAAAACCAAAAAACATTATACTTTCCAATTTCATTTATTCTACATACGGCTGACAGAGGAGCTGGTTACCCTGTTCTCTCTGCCCCCCATATTCCCACTCCTCTCTTTCCCCCACTCTTCCCTCCCCACCATCCCCAAAAAAATTCCATTCTCCGGAAAAATTTCATGCCGTAAAAATTAAACGTGAAAAAAAAAAAACTACGAAATAAAGAGAGGAAAAAAAAGGGTATTCTCTCCCTTCGGACATCAATGCATAGGAATGGGAATCGCTTGAAGTTTTATGGGAAATTGAACGATACAAATTAGAAGTGTGTGTGTGTGTGTGAGACAGAGAGAGACAGAGAGAGACAGAGAGAGACAGAGAGAGACAGTATGTTGTGTAGTGAATGGACAGATAGAGGCAGCGAGGGATAATTGGCCCTTCTCTCGTGGTTGCATGGAGAGAGAGAGAGAGAGAAAGAAAGAGAGAGAGAGAGAGAGAGAGAGAGAGAGAGAGAGAGAGAGAGAGAGAGAGAGAGAGAGAGAGAGAGAGAGTAATTGGTGTTGTCTGGCCAATAGATAGAGACAGGTAGAGATAATTGCATTTTTTGTGGTGGGTGAATGGTGGTTGTTCATTCAGGTACGGAGAGATAGAGTGAGAGACAGAGAGACAGTGACGAGAGAGATAGAATGAGAGACAGAGAGACAGGTGAAGAGAGAGATAGAGTGAGAGACAGAGAGACGGTGACGAGAGAGAGAGAGAGAGAGAGAGAGAGAGAGAGAGAGAGAGAGAGAGAGAGAGAGAGAGAGAGAGGATTAAACCAGGAATATGTTTTAGGGTGTGTTTCATATGTCCTTTACTTGGGAATTTCGACTCTATGGTGGGTGTTGCTTAGCACTGTCTTCCCTCGGTGGCATTATCAAGATGGTGCGGAGGTTCATCGAGGAAAGTGATTTTGTAGTTCCTGTGTGTGTTTGTTTGTATGTCTTTGTGTTTGTGTTTGTTTGTGTGTGTGTGTTTCTGTTTGTGTGGGTCGTCTGTCTGTTTGTTAGTTCGTTGTGTCTGTGTTTATCTTTCTTCTCTTCGTCTGAGTTGTGTTGACTGTGTGTGTGTGTGTGTGTGTGTGTGTGTGTGTGTGTGTGTGTGTGTGTGTGTGTGTGTGTGTGTGTGTGTGTGTGTGTGTGTGTGTGTGTGTGTGTGTGTGTGTGTGTGTGTGTGTGTGTGTGTGGTGTGTGTGTGTGTGTGTGTGTGTGTGTGTGTGTGTGTGTGTGTGTGTGTGTGTGATTCATTAACCTTATACCTGTTGACTCATCTGTTTCACCTGAGTCTTGGTCACATCTCTCTCTCTCTCTCTCTCTCTCTCTCTCTCTCTCTCTCACATCATAACACAGGTCACACATGGATCTCAACCAAAACAAGATACACCAAGATGGCAACACTGCAGACTCGCCCATCTTGGCAACTGTGACCACAACATACAGACCCAACCTCCTCCTCTTCCTCCCTCCTCCTCCTCCTCTTCCTCCCTCCTCCTCCTCCTCTTCCTCCCTCCTCCTCCTCCTCCTTAGCAGCACGTATGTACATCAGAGGAAGTATTCCCTTGTACTTAATTACACGCAGCATTACACGGCAGCTCTTCCTCTCACAGTGCCATTCAAGTGTTCCCTCACGTCTACTTGTTAATATTAGTCTTCCCGTCATTCATCCCCTCTTCCCGCGCTTCTTCTTGCCATTTATCTGGTTTTCTTCGTCTTTCCATCGTTTATTGTATTTTATCTCATCTATACTCTAAATAAAATACCCATAAACGATTATTTTTTTGTGTTTTTATCAATTATGGGTAAGTTTATTTATTGTATTTTAAAGGAGAATAAATGGATGAGGGTTGTAAGATTAGGGTAATATTATGATGCTCACCAAGACGGCAACACTCACCACCACCAGCTGATTACTTGGAGGTTGTGTTCCAGAGATGAAATAAAAGAACAGGGTTATAAAAACGAGACACACACACACACACACACACACACACACACACACACACACACACACACACACACACACACACACACACACACACAGAGTAAAAAAATAAAACTCTTCTCAATAAAATTTTATGTTAATTATGAGAAAGTAATTTGCAATTCATTTGTGTCTTTTGAAGTCGTGTTAATTATATTACTATCAACCCACTCAGTACCTCTCACACTCTCACACGCTACCTCTCACACTCTACCTCTCACACTCACACACTCTACCCCTTCTTCACACTCACACACACCCCCACCCCCTTCACACCACACACCCCCACCCTTCACACTCACACACCCCTACCCCTTCACACCACACACTCTACCCCTTCACACTCACACACTCTTACCCCCTTCACACTCACACACCTCTTACCCCTCTCACACTCACACACCCCCACCCCTTCTCACACCTCAGCTACTAATTCCCTACCCCACACTCACACACTCTACCCTTCACACTCACACACTCTACCCCTTCACACTCACACACTCTTACCCCTTCACACTTCACACACCTCTTAATATATTACTAAGATAAGTCTCCTATATCCTACCTCTTGTATGACCTCGTGTAGTGAAGATAAATACATAGCAATATATTAATGATTTTTCTAACTAATATAAACATTTCTAATTTACTGTTTTATTTATAGCATTTACATATTTTGATCGTGTGTGTGTGTGTGTGTGTGTGTGTGTGTGGGTGTGTGTAAAAAAGAGAATGTGATTGACCGAACTAATAATAATAATGATAATAACAATAATAATAAATAATAACAACAACAACAACAACAACAACAACAACAACAATAATAACAACAATAACAACCACCACCACAACAACAACCACAACAACAACCACAACAACAACTGCCAACAACAACAACAAAGCAACAACAACCACCACCACAACAACAACAACAACAAAAACAACAACAGCAACAACCACCAACACAACAAATAAATAACAACAACAACAGCAACAACCACCACCACAACAACAACAACAACAACAACAACCACTACTAATAACAACAACAACCACAACAACAACCACAACAGCAACTACAACAACAACAACAGCAACAACCACCACCACAACAACAACAACAACAACAACAACAACCAATTTCACTTCACAACAACAACAACCACAACAACAACCACAACAACAACAACAGCAACAACCACCACCTCAATAACAACAACAACAACAACCACCACAACAACAACTACAACAACAACAACAACAACAACAACAACAACCACCACCACCACCACAACAACAACCATCTATATAATATTTATCTTTCTATTAAATAATATCCCCAGATAAAGGTCATTTGCATATAATTGCTTTAACCTTTCACTAAATGTCCGTCATAACGTGAAATATATACAATATCATTTATAACTGTAATACTTATAAATACTAATAAAAGAGAGAGAGAGAGACAGAGAGAGAGAGAGAGAGAGAGAGAGAGAGAGAGAGACAGAGAGAGAGAGAGAGAGAGAGAGAGAGAGAGAGAGAGAGAGAGAGAGACAGAGAGAGACAGAGAGAGAGACATTCATATAGACAGAGAGGGAAGGAGAGAGAGAGAGAGAGACGGGCAGTAAAACAGAGATAGACAAAAGGCACATTAAAACGAAAGGAAAAATACATACAAACAAACACACACAAACAGAAACAAACAAGCAAACATAAACACACACACAACCAAACAAAAACAAACAAACACAGATCCCGCTTCACCTTTACCTTTACACCAACAAAAAACAAACAAACAAATAAATAAATAAATACAATAATGTTTGTTTTTTCTTAAAGGTTTACTGTCGGAATAAATTGTGTTTATTCTTTCCCTGTTTCTTCCCCGGGGAAAGAAAGACTGACATAGATTGTGTTTGGTTTTTTCTCTTTGTTTCTCATGGGAGGAAGTGTGTGTGTGTGTGTGTGTGTGTGTTTATTTATTCACACACACACACACACACACACACACACACAGCCTCAGGGTACACACAGATATACATACACATCTTTACCCCAAAAATATTCCCCCTTAAAAAAAAAAAATCCACTTTCTCAACTTTTAAACAGAGTCTTGGCCATACGCGTCTCTCCCTCTTCTCCTATTCAATCTCTATTCAGTCTATCGTTGATTTGAGGTTTGAGAGACGGGCACACAGCAACACGTCTTTTGGTGAGCTGGTCAAGATGATACAACAGTTTGCTGCCTTTAGACTATTGTGAAATAATGAGGAGTAGTTGGGTTGTTAAGGGAGGGGGAGGTGGGGGTAGGGAGGGGTGGGTAGGGGAAGAGGGTATGAGAGGAGGGAGTAGGGGAGGGGTAGGAGGGGGGTATGGGTGAGGGGAAAAGGCAA